TCATTGAAAACTTCTCCAGGATCGCCCGACCCATGACTCAGTTGCTTAAGAAAGATGAGAAGTTTAAATGGACAGCTGAGTGCGACAAGAGATTTGAGGAGCTCAAAAAGAAATTAGTATCCGCACCAGTTTTGATTCTGCCCGACCAGATGAAAGACTTCCAAGTCTATTGCGATGCATCCCGCCACGGACTTGGATGTGTCCTAATGCAAGAGGGCAGAGTGGTTGCGTATGCCTCGCGGCAGTTGTGTCCACACGAAGGGAATTATCCAACTCATGACCTAGAACTGGCAGTAGTGGTTCATGCTTTGAAGATCTGGAGGCACTATCTGATTGGCAACCGCTGCGAAGTATATACGGACCACAAGAGTCTGAAATACATCTTCACCCAACCGGACCTAAATCTCCGGCAACGAAGATGGTTGGAACTAATCAAAGACTATGACATGAGTATTCACTACCACCCAGGTAAAGCCAATGTGGTGGCCGATGCGCTAAGCAAGAAAAGCTACTGCAATGCCCTATGCATCGAGGGCATGTGTGGAGAATTGCAGCAGGAGCTTGAGCGTCTCAATGTGGGAATTGTTGAACACGGATTCGTAGCTGCTCTAGAAGCACGCCCCACGCTCGTGGATCAAGTCAGAACCGCTCAAGTAAATGATCCTGAAATAGCAGAGCTGAAAAAGAACATGAGAGTCGGAAAAGCCCAGGATTTCCACGAAGATGAACACGGCACAATCTGGTTGGGAGAAAGATTGTGTGTACCTGACGACAAGGAACTGAAGGATCTGATACTCACCGAGGCTCATCAGACTCAGTACTCCATTCATCCAGGCAGCACCAAAATGTATCAAGACCTCAAAGAAAAGTTTTGGTGGGTCAACATGAGAAGGGAAATAGCTGAATTCGTCGCACTCTGCGACGTTTGCCAACGAGTGAAGGCAGAGCACCAAAGGCCAGCAGGTTTACTCTAACCTCTTCAAATCCCGGAATGGAAATGGGAGGAGATTGGAATGGACTTTATAATAGGACTGCCCCGGACATCATCGGGTCACGATTCAATCTGGGTAGTCGTGGATCGACTCACTAAGGTTGCTCACTTCATACCAGTACATACCACGTATACGGGCAAAAGGTTGGCAGAGCTCTACCTCTCGAGAATCATGTGTCTACATGGAGTACCCACAAAGATAGTATCTGATCGAGGAATTGGGAACCCGGTTGAATTTGCAAGAGGAGATTGCAAGAGGAATTGGGAACTCGGTTGAATTTCAGCACAGCCTACCATCCGCAGACCGATGGTCAGACCGAGCGAGTCAATCAAATATTGGAGGACATGTTAAGGGCCTGCGCACTTGATTTTGGTGGAGCTTGGGACAAAACCTTACCGTATGCGGAGTTCTCTTACAACAACAGTTACCAGGCTAGTCTTCAAATGGCACCGTTCGAAGCATTATACGGCCGGAAGTGTCGCACCCCTCTCTTCTAGGATCAGACAGGCGAGCGTCAACTGTTTGGAACAGAGGTGCTAAGGGAAGCAGAAGAGAAAGTCAGAACCATCAGGGAAAGGTTGAGAATTGCCCAGTCTCGACAGAAGAGCTACGCGGATAACCGCCGAAGGGAGCTCACTTTTGAGGCAGGGGATTACGTGTATCTTCGTGTTACTCCGCTCCGGGGAGTGCACCGTTTTCAAACCAAAGGCAAGTTGGCACCACGTTTCGTGGGACCCTACAAAATCTTGGAACGAAGGGGAGAAGTTGCTTATCAGCTAGAACTTCCATCCAATATGATCGGCATCCATGACGTGTTCCACGTGTCCCAACTAAAGAAGTGCTTAAGAGTACCCGAAGAACAAGCCAATTCGGAGCACATCGATATCCAAGAAGATCTGATGTATGTGGAGAGGCCAGTCCGTATCCTTGAGACCAGCGAAAGGAGGACTAGAAACAAGGTCACCAGGTTTTGCCGGGTTCAGTGGAGCCACCATTATGAGGAGGAAGCAACCTAGGAAAGGGAAGATGAGTTGAAAGCCGCCTATCCGCACCTCTTCGCCAGCTCCTCCGAATCTCGGGCCCGAGATTCCGTTTAAGGGGGGTAGGTTTGTCACACCCTGAAGTTCTCCTCCTAAGCCTAAAATTGAATTTATAAATCACCCTAAGAAAATGTCGGTGCAAATCAAGAGAAAACCTTAATTTTAAGAGAAAACCTTAATAAATTAATGCAAACAATAATCGGAATTAGCATGTGGAATTTTTCTTGAGTTCTACATATCGAAATACGCTAACATGATTTTTAGTGGAATTTTCAGAGCTCTCGAAATAATTTTAACCAATTAAAATTGAGCACATGCAATTTTAAATCCCAGGGAAAATCTTTTCCTCCTTTTCTTTTTCTTTTCCCTCCTTTTCCTCTTCTTGGGCCGTCGGCCCAGTCCACCCCGCCACCGCGCACGCCCTCCTCCTTGTGGGCCGGCCCAAGCCGCCCCTCCCTCTCTCCCCGGGACGCCGACAGGTGGGCCCCACCTGTCGGGGTCGTCCCCTTCCTCCGGCCGCCCGCCCCACGTCGCCACCACCGCTAAAACCGCCACCGCGCCAAGGTCCCCGCCTCCTCCGGGCCACGTCGGCCACACCCGCGCATGCGCCGCGCCTCCCGCACCCACTCCTCCTCTCTCCCGCTCGCGCCCGCGCCCGAGATGGCCGGGATTCGAATTCCGAATCCCGCCTCTCTCTCCACCTCCACCTCCCCGCGTTGGCCGGTGGAATCCCGCCCCTACCGGCCACATCCGGGATTCCCCTCCCCTATTTAAGCTCCACCGCCACTCCCTCGCTCTTTTTCCCCATCTCGCCGAACTCCCTCGTGCTCCCCATCGCTCCTGCGCCGTGCTTCCACCCGCCGCCGCCGCTTCCGCTACTCCGGCCGCCGCTAGCCGCCACTAGGCTCGCCGCCGCACCACGCCGTCGCCGCCGCCGGGTTCGCGTGGCCAAGGGTTACCCCGTCCGCCCCTCCTCCATCGAGGTCCGTCGCCGGAACCCGCATCCCCTCGCACTCCGGTGAGCACCACCTCTACCGCCGCCTTCGGCCATGGTTTCCGCTCGCCGTGGTCCACCCCTCTCCCTCTAATCTCTCTCTTTGCCTCTCTTAGAGCATCTCGGAGCTCGTCCGCCCGCCGCCGTTGTCCTCCCGTGGCTCGCCATCGCCGTTCACCGTCGTCCTCCTCCACGCCGGCCACTCTCGGTGAGGCATTCCCCCTCCTCTATTCCCCTCCCTCTCCCTCCTAGCCGCGCCGGGTCTAGCCGCCGCCCCGGTCGTGCGCCGCCGCCTTTGCGCCGCCGCCCCGGTCGTGCGCCGCCGCCTTTGCGCCGCCGCCTCCGCCGCCGGTTGCCATCGCCGGCAACGCGTGCGCGCGCGCCGTGGCCATCGACGTGGCCGGTCGGTCGGCCTTGAGCCGAGCCGAGCCGGGTCGCCGCCGCCCGTCCGATCGGCCCCGGGGGCGATCTGGGCCGTCGGTCTGGTGGACCGGCAGCCTTGAGCCGCTGACCCGGGGGCCCCACTTGCCGGCGCCCCTCTCTCCCCTTGAGCCGCTGACATGCGGGCCCCGCCTGTCGGCGCCACCCCCCCTTTTGATGACGTCAGCCGTGGGACATATTGCGCAATAAATGATTTAAGAACCTTTTGTTATAGTAATAAACACAGTGAATCTTCTAAAATTCATAACTAATTCATCCGTGTTCCGTTTAAGCCCATTCAAAGTCTCAGTAAATCAAGAAAAATGTGTAGAATCCATTAAAAATGGTTTTGTTCTCTGTTTCAGTAGTCTTATAGCCTGTTTGCATTGTTTGCTTTGTATGTCGCTTAGATTCCGGTTCTTCCGACGCTCCGGTGTACTTCGAGATAGTCACCGAGGTCTCCAGCTGCAGAGCAAGGCAAGTCATGCCTGTCACTTGAACATGTTGATCCTATATTGCAAATGCTCTATTGTTTTTCTTTAAATACTGCATTGTTTTATAATGTTACTATGGGATGTTTACCTATTGTTACAGCCATGCTATTTTGATACCATGCTCCTTTGTTAGCTTGGGTTATAACATGAATAGACTTTGGACTAGGAATTGCTTAGCCATGCTTAGTTCAACTAGCACACATTGGGGAAAAATCCTATTAATGTTTAGACTGTAGGTTCTAGTGGTAATGTTGGATTAGTGACACCGCTTCGGTGTTGGTTAATTAAAATAAATCACATGGTGGGCTGTGGGTGTATGGTTTTGTTGGTCCTTAACCGGTTCGCGGGATGCCCTGGAAGAACTTATCGTACTTACCACAAGCCAGCGTGGGCAACGGCTGGGCTTGTAGTGTAGCTTTTCTCTAGCCGACGCATCCAGGAAAGGGTGGGCGTGATGGAGTTTGGATGGGCCCTGCGACGTCCTATGCGGCTTCCAGATTCACCTAGGCACGAGAGGGGACTGCCCGCTGCCTTGCGAGGAGTGGGGGTGAAACCTGAGGTGTGGTATGCTTGGTTAGAGGGGGTTATGCGAAGGGTCCTGTCACGGCCTCTTTCCGGTATGTCGTGGTGGCATGTCGGCGCACGGAAACGTGTCGTGGAGCTGTGTCTTGTGGGTACAGTTGTACACCTCTGATCAGAGTAAAACTATTCGAATAGCCGTGCCCGCGGTTATGGGCGGTCAACCAGATTCACCGTGATTAGTCTCACCCTAGTTTAGTCTAATGAAATTGGATAGTATAGGTGGATGGTTGGGCCTGTCGCAACGTGGTATAGCGTTGGACAGTGGATGAATAATATGATTAATTATTACAACTGTTTAATTCTTTCAACTTCTGTTTATAAATGCTCACTTTATGCAAATGAACCACTCTAGCTCTCCTTTGATAATTCCCTTCATCATACCCCTATTCCGGTATGACTTGCTGAGTACAGTGGGTAGCACTCAGTCTTGCTCTATTTTATGTAAGACTTTTATGATATTTGTAAGACGTGGATCTGAATGTCAACACTGTCGTTTGTGTACCCCGGCCGGTCCTGGACGGGGATTTTAATGCACATTCTGCTTGGAATTCTATTCGGGAATTTCTGGGCGTGACAGGGACGGAGCGCCATTACGCCCCCTCCCGAAAAGGCACAAGAGGAAGATGCAGAGAAGAAAGCCAGAGGAAAAGCAACATTAAAGTCGATAATCGTAGCCCCGGCGAGAGCTACAAGCAAGTTTCAAATCGAGGCAGAAGAACAATATCTTTCATCAAAATGGCAAGCGGTAAAACCAAAGTTTTGGTGGCGGAAGCGCCAAAATCCTTCTTCGTCAACCTCTCAGGCCGTCTTCAATCGCCCAGCTGCCTCCTTCAATCCACTAAATCTCAGAGAAAAATTCAAGGAGATCTTGCACGGCAAGTGCTTCCGCTGCCTCGCTTCAGATCACCAGGCAGCAGCTTGCAGGGATCCCATCCGCTGCTATACTTGTAGACGCAGTGGACACATCTCCTTCCGCTGCCCAAACAAATCAAAGCAACCCATTCACTCCCGCCTCACCTTCCCCAAGCAAGCCCCCTCCATTCAATCCCAACTCATCTTCCCACCGCTTCCCAGCAAGAACCAACAGCAACCAACAACGACCCGCCCTGGTTCGGTTTTCCATCGTTTGCACAAGCCAACGGTGACCATGGATCACATACCTGGTCTACCGAATCAACGGCCGGCGGTCGGCTATGCAACGGTGCCGATGACGGAGCTCATGCAGCACGAGCTGGAGCGCCTTCGCTTTCATGGCGCACTCATCTCGGCCGAGGTTGAGGGACAGGAGACGTCCCCTAGGGAGGTGGCACGTGCACTGACCCAGCAGGTTGGGATCCCCATCTCGGACCTGCGAGTGACGCGCCATCACCCGGAAGATTTCTTCGTCTTCTTCGATTTCCCAGAGGGGCAGGCCGCGGCAACGCGGAGAGGCTTCATCACTCTGGATGGAGGAAGGTTCACCATCACGCCATGGAGCGCCGACAGGCATGTGCACCACCCGAACTGGTGGTTTCGCGTGCGGCTCTGCCTGGAGGGATTGCCGCAGTACGCATGGAACAGGGCGGGATTGGAGGGCGTCATGGGTCCCATCTGCCTCTTCGATCGCATCGAGCATGAGTCGGTTCAGCGGCAGAACATGGCCATCTTCTCATGCTGGATGTGGATGCGGAATCCTGACCTCCTGCCACGAATAGTGATCTCCACCTTCTTCCCGCCGGAAGCTGGGCGTGTCACCTCCGGCATCACACCGCCGCTTCCGGACGAGATCGCGCCACCGCCGAGGGGGAGGCTGCCGCATGTCATAGTCCATCTGGACGAGATGGAGGACTGGACTCCAGGACCGCCCCATCCGCCCTGCTCGCCTTCTTCCGGCGTGAGCGGACTTCCCTCCTCGGACTCGTCTGATTCGGGAGGCCCGATACCCACGGTGCGCACCTTCCAGTGGTACCTGGGCTGCGCCGACGGAACCCAGCCTCCTCGGCAACGGGCGGCAGTGAGGCGGGGATGCAGGGCACTGCCGCAGAGAAGAGAAGACCCAGAGGATGATGAGGATGACAACGGGCGGCGGCGCCACGCTGAGGATATTCCACCACGCCGCCGCTCGCTGCGCGATGTCATCATTGGAAGGGACTGGTCGGTTGAGTCGCGGGCGGCGGAAGGGGCGCGGCACTGGAGCCGCACGCCGCATCCTTCCGGCCGCCAGCGAGCGCACGGCGATGGGTGCCAAGGCCGCTCACGAACCAGGCACAGCTCCCGATGCTCCTGCCGCTGCAGATCCCGTCGCACGCGCTCCCCAAGCTCCTTGACTCCTCGCGGTCAGGACGGCACCGGCGATGCAGGCGGCGCGACGACCAAGGTGGTCGCTGTTAGTGGCCAGGCTGATGGCGACCAGCAGCCAGTCGACGCTCTCGTGAGTCTTCCTGACCCTCTGATCAAGATCCTATGCTCCTCACCCCTGCTCCCCTTCTCAGATGACCAGGGGGACCACGACCCGATGCTGCCGCTCCTGGCAGAGATCGCTCCCAAGTCTTCACGGGAGGCGGAGAACGAGACGAAGAGGACGGGTGGGGAAGAACCGATACTGGGAGAGGATAAGGTGGCGTCGGCAGCTGAGTTGGGCCAGGAGAAGATGGGCCATCTCGTCCCAGATGCGCAGCAGGCCCCCAAGATGGACCTCCTCGCTCAGTCCACTGGAGATGACGAGGCCCAAGCTTCCACAGGAGACCAGCCCACCCTGGTGCAGCAGGCCGACTGCGAGGAGCAACACCAGGCCACGGTCCAGACTCAGCCCATCCACGGAGGAGAAGGTGAACGTGAAAAGGTCGTCTTATCTCCTCTGTTCTCGCAGCTGCAGCCGCCGATCATCCTGCAGGCGCCGCTCGAGCTGGCGCCGCCCGGCGCGGCCAAGACGAAGGGGTGCGGACGCAAGGTGGTGCAGATGCCGTCGCGGCGGAGCGGCCGTAAGGCGCGCTTCTCGTCGGTGCCGGTGTCTAAGCGCGCAGAAGTGCGCCTCATGGAGGAGATGGGGCTGCTCACCCCGGGTGAACCGGTCGTGGATGCGGTGGTGGAGGCTTATGCAAAGTCCTTCGACACACCGCTTCCGTTGCATGTCATCGCCGGTCTGCGGGCGCTCACACTCCTGGATGGAGTGCACGACATGCCGGTGCCAGGAGAGAAAGGAACCACCGCAACGGCGGTGGTCTGAGGCGCGCGCTGCCGCGCCCTGAGAGAAGTCGTCAGCAGTCATGATTGTCCGCATCAGTATTAGAGCTGCAGAAATGGTCTTCCATCATCATCTGCATGTATCCTTTACATTTCTCTGCGGCCTTAAGCCGCTGCTCGCTGTATGGTCGATGCGACTAGCGCTCCCATGCAGCAACGGCCGTAAGCCGGAGCTCCTTAGTCGGTTGATGCGAATAGCGCTCCCGGTAGACACCGGCCTTCAGTTGGTTAGTAGCAGAGTAGACAGGCTAGAAGATAGTGAAATTGCTTCTACATGGTCATGTTTGGTTTGTAGTTGTAGGTCATGGAAGAAAATATGTAGCCCTCTATCTGCTTATGAACTAATTCATTTGGAAAACACTATGGGATCGATCCTTTTGGAAAAAATTGTGTGTTATACTTCGCTCAAATGTTACAACATATGAGAATTCTCAATTGGAATGTTCGCGGACTAAATAACCCAGCACGAAGAGAGGCAGTCCTCGAAGCAGCCGAGCTGGCCAGAGCAGGCATCCTGTGCTTGCAAGAAACAAAATTAAGTAGTATAAACCAATGGATCGGCAAAGAGATTGGGGGAAATAGGTTGTCGAACTTCAATTTCCTTCCTGCCAATGGAACTCGTGGAGGAATTGCCATCTTCCGGGATGACACAATTGTTAACATGGCGAATTTCTCCCAAGGAACACACCATCTTTCGGCGATGGCAATGACCATAACTGATAACCTCAGCTTCATCATCACAGTAGTTAATGGACCCTCAGAAGACTGTGACAAGGAAAATTTCCTCGCTGAATTAGTCGCAGCCAAGCCACCAACAGACACGCCATGGTTGGTCATGGGGGACTTCAACATCATATACGAGGCTAGGGATAAGAATAACCAGAATTTGAACAGGCGTCTAATGGGGCGCTTCAGGTCAACCTTAAATACTTTGGAGCTAAAAGACATTAGATTGCAAAACAGGCAGTTCACTTGGAGTAATGAGCAGGGAAACCCGATTCTAAGCAAATTAGATAGGATTCTGAGCAATAGTGAGGGAGATATTCTTTTCTCTGGGCATTCCTTGCTAGCACTATCCACATCCTGCTCAGACCACTGTTAGTTGCTGCTAGCACCAATGCAAGAACCAAAGAGGAAACCGAGGTTCCGATTTGAAAATTTCTGGATTAGAGTGGAAGGTTTCCTAGGCGTCGTAACCCAGGCTTGGAACGAGCCTATCCAGGAAGGTCACCCCACTTGGCGGCTAAGTCAAAAGCTTAGGAACACTGAAGCAGCCTTGAGGAAATGGAGCAAGCAAAAGTTTGGGCAATCAAAATTACAATTCGCTATGGTACAATAACTTATCTATAGGCTGGATGTAGCCCTGGAAACAAGAACTCTGATAGCAGAGGAACACCAATTCAGGAAAGACCTCAAGATAAGAATTCTAGGGCTAGCAGCGGTGGAAAAGGCGAGGAAGAAGCAAGCATCTAGGGTAAAATGGCTAAAAGAAGGTGATGCTAACACAAGGTTCTTCCACATAAAGATGAATGCTCGAAGGAGAAAAAATTTCATTCATTGCTTGCAGCAAGATGGAAATACCCTGCACACACATGAGGACAAAGCAGCTCACCTTCATGCCCACTTCAACTCAATCTTAGGGACAAGACGACAGCGTGGCTGCACATTAAATTGGGAAGCATTAAGACTGAGTACAATACAAGATGATAGCATGGATGAGCCGTTCACAGAGGATGAAATCTGGGAAGCAATTAAAAACTCTCCAAAGGAAAAAGCGCCGGGCCCAGATGATTTCACTGGAGCTTTCTACAAGAACTGCTGGCACATAATAAAAAAGGAAATTGTGGACGTTTTTGCAAGCTTTCACAACCTCACAGGGGGGAACTTTGGAAGCATCAACAGGGCCATGATAACACTGCTGCCGAAGAAAGACTCACCACGCTCGATGAATGACTTCAGACCCATTAGTCTGATCCACTCCGTGGCGAAGCTTATATCCAAAACTTTGGCAATGAGACTGGCAGCACGGCTTGGTGATTTGGTCTCGCATGCCCAAAGTGCTTTCATCAAGAAGAGATGCATACAAGATAACTTCCTCTATGTGCGCAACATGGCCCGGTCCTTGCACATGCAACGGAAACCATCCCTCTTCTTCAAGTTGGACATAACAAAGGCATTTGATTCGGTATCTTGGGAATACCTTGTCGAAATGCTGCAGTGCAGAGGCTTTAGTCAGCACTGGAGAAATTGGATTGTGCTTCTCCTATCGACTGCATCATCCAGAATTTTACTCAATGGGATAGCGGGAGAACCAACTACACACAGGCGAGGCCTCCGGCAGGGTGATCCCCTCTCGCCCTACCTCTTCATCCTAGCAATTGACCCGATTCAACGACTACTCAATAAGGCCACGCAAGAGGGGCTTCTATCTCCGTTATCAAACCGAGCAGCGCGGTTCAAAATATCCTTATATGCTGATGATGCAGCGATCTTTATAAACTCGATCAGGAATGATGTCAACAACTTGATTAGCATCCTCAAGTTCTTCGGCGAGGCCACAAGCCTTCAAGTGAATCTGCACAAGAGCTCGGTCGTGCCCATCAAATGCGCAGAGCAGAACCTATCCGAGGTGTTGGAAAATTTCAATGGACAGCGGGGCAATTTTCCCATAACATATTTGGGATTGCCGCTCACCCCAGGCCACATCAAGAGAATACACTTGCAACCGGTGATGGACAAGTTGCAATCAAGGTTAGCGGGATGGAAAGGGAAGTTAATCCAGCAATCAGGGCGGAAGACACTAGTCACGTCTGTTCTCAGCTCCATACCAACCTACTTCCTTACCGCCTTAAAGCCGCCTAAACAGTTTCTCACAGACATGAACAAGATTAGGAAGAAATTCCTCTGGGCCGGCGATCAAGAGATTAGCGGGGGGAAGTGCAAAGTGAATTGGAAAAAAGTATGCTCCCCAATAAAGATGGGAGGACTAGGCGTGTTGGACCTTGATAAATTCGCGAGAGCTTTGAGACTCCGTTGGCTATGGTTTGAGTGGGAGTGCCCTGACAAACCTTGGGTTGGGACAACACCCCCCTGCGATGAGTTAGATGAGCAAATCTTCGCGGCCGCAACAAAGGTAACAATCGGTAATGGGCGGAAGGCAAAATTTTGGACATCCAACTGGATTGGCCACCAGCCACTGAAATACCTAGCGCCAGCGCTGTTCAACCACTCTAAAGGAAAGCAACGCTTGGTTCAGGATGCGTTAACCAATGACAAATGGATTGAGGATATTAGGCATGAGCTGTCCATGCCACTGATCCGAGAATTCTTCGCAGTGTTCCGCCTTATCTGGGATAATGAGACAAACCTAGAGGAAGGAGTTGAAGACACCATCATCTGGAGATGGACAAATACCGGTAAATACACAGCAAAATCGGCTTATTTAGCCCAATTCGTCGGTAGAGAAGACTCAAGGGCCGCCACCTTGATTTGGAAGATATGGGCGCCATCCAAATGCAAAAACTTTGCATGGCTTGTCCTGCAAAACAGGATATGGACATCCGACCGCTTGCAACTCCGACAATGGCCCAATAACTAGTTTTGCCAACTCTGCTATAAGAACTTGGAGATGGCGCAACATTTATTCAAGGATTGTCCATTCACGCGAGAAATTTGGGACAAAATAATGGCTAGGATGAACCACAACCAACCCTTCCCGGTGCACAATCCGGACGAGAGCCTAGTTGACTGGTGGGAATCAAGAACAAAGCAACAAAGCAAATGTCAAAGTAAGGGGATGCAGTCACTACACATGCTCTTGAGTTGGGAAATCTGGTGCGAGAGGAACAGACGAGTTTTCAAAGATAAAGAATTTCAAATCCCTCAACTAACGGCAAGAATAATAGACGAAATACATACATGGTCAGCATGTGGGGCAAAAAATCTTGCGAGAATAGCGCCTTAACCTCTCATCCTTTGTTGTAATTTTCCTTTTTTCTGCTCTCCTCCCCCCTGTCTTTCCCCTTGTCACCATTGGTGGCATTTGTACATTGCTTATCTTCTAAAATATAAAACCAGCTAAGCTGGCTAAGGTTTCAAAAAATATTAAATTAATTTCATTAAGATTCACCATAAAATATGTCTTGATAGTGTAATTATTTGTTATTGTAGATGTTAATTATTTTTCTATAAATCTAGTGAAAGTTAGAACATTTTAATTTAGGACAAAATTAAAACGTGTCACAATATGGAACGGAAGGAGTATCAGACTTTGTTAATTTGGCTTACAAATCTGCTTCTTAGTTCATGTTTTTTCAAAAAAAAGGAAAATCCCACATGATATATCCAGTTATATGAGGAATTTAATTATTTTCTTTGGAATTCTTGGATCCAAATTTCCATGAGAAATTATACTGTGGTACCACATGGCAATATAGTATTTTAGTCAAATTATTTTCAAATTTTCTCATGTGCCCCAGTCTTGTACTAGATCAGGAACGTACATGTATCGCGGAGGAAACTGGCACCGACAAAGACTGGTAGACTTGTTGTTCCTCCACAAGATTTCCTTGACAATAATAACAATCTCCGTACGCTACCTACAGTTGGTGAACGGTCTGGTTAATTAATTAATTAGCACCTAACTAGGGTGTGATAAGACGTCCATTTTTAATAATCCCATTAACTACTATTCTCAAATCTCAATTTCAAATACGAGTTGTTTTCAACTTGTCCAAAGTAATTAAGAAAATAATTTAAATAGCTTTGTTGCCCTTCATTTATATGACAATAGAAAATACTATATTTATATATAAGAGAGAGTAGCATTTACTTGGACAAGGTTAAACACAAGAGACAAGACAAAAGAAGTGACTGAAGTTTTAAAACAACTTGTGTTCAGAAAAGATTTAAGAAGGTTCAAATGACTTACTTTTGGAATAGGCGAGATCAACAATTTAGGATTATTCTATGCTATTAAAGACTAAACCCTCTAACATAGAGCCGAAAAACTGAATCCTTTTATAACAAATTTTAGCGTTCTAAACAGACGCACGTAATGGTAGCTTGTTTATCCAACATGGCTAGCCCACGACTGCCTATATGGTACACCTTTGTTGACGAAAGCCCATTGGTGAATTTTTGATTCCGTGACAGTGGATGGTGATACAAAAGTGAGGATTTCTCAAGATCCCAACTCATGTAGTTTAGTCCACTGATGCAGATTCCAAGAGAGCTTTTCTCTCCCTCACCACGCCCCTAATCATTGCCATTAGTTTAATTCCCAAACCTGAGGTGTACCCCTCATTCGCTGCCCTTATTCCCCTCCACCCCCCGATTGCTTTTCTGCCAATGAGAAGTGGCAAGTGCCTGTCACTTGTCAAGTAGAGAGACTAGAGACTAGGCTGGACTGCCCTCATCTTCTCTTCCATTTCTCCTCTGTCCCTGCCTAGCTATCATCTCCCAAATCATCCCTAGCTGTGGCAGCTCAGAGACTTCCCCTTGATGGTGGCGCGGCGCGGCGATCGCCTTCGGCGACCACCGAGGTGCGGGAGGCTGAGGTGGAAGAAGGATTGCTCCAGTGGAGGTGGAGGTGGAGGCGGAGGCGGAAGCGGAGGTAGGCTGAAGAGGAGCGAGGTGATCACTTGATGGATTTTGCTTGTGTGCCTAGTGGTAGGCAAGTCTGATTCTTGGCTGTGGTTGAAGTTAATTGAAAGGGGGGTATATAATCTTTTTTGTTCTCTTCCTCTCTCCTCTCTACCTTAATTTGTGTGTCTGAATGTGTGTTTGCTATTCTGAACTTCTGATGATGAGTTTTCCTTTCAGTTGGTCGGTTTGATTGTGTGTCATGTCATTTATCTGGAGTTGTGTTGTGTGGCATGGCCATGTGTCGTGTGTGTGATATGTTATAAAGAAAGAAAGAAGTGAAGTATTAATTGGGAGAAGGAAGAAAATGAATGCAGAGATTTATGATTATTTTCCACATTCTGAATTTTGTCTGTGAGGTGCCCACGATGCAACCATTTTTCATGCTCTTGTCAAATTCATCGACATTGAACCTGTTGTTCTCTGAATATGAGAGAGATATCTGCTCTTTGTTGCAGCGTGTACAACCTATTACAGTTGGACTGTGCTGGGGTGATTAATTATCAAGGTCAAGGCATGTAAATTTTGAAGTGACACTTTCAATTCCTTTTTTTTTTTTGCTCTTTCAAGTTTCAATATTGATTCTCGTCAATCTCCGTAACATTTGATCAGCGTAATCCTTCGGTTCACACGGTAAAAAAAAAGTTTGAATATTGAAGATGTGTAAAGTTGGTCCGGTAAAAATACAAAATCGCAAATAGCCCCTCAGTAGTCATATATGCAAAACGCATTCTACTATGTTATTAACGGGGTTCTTCAGAACGCAGGTTTCTAAAATATTGATATAGGAAAACACATGATTAAAGAATTAGAAACACACGGTAAAAAATGTTTGTATGGCATATACAGAACAAACTCATCAAGGAAAGAAGAATAAGAGGTAAGGTTTGTTCCAAGAAAATTTCGGGGACTTTTCAAAGGATTTTTTTTTCAGTTTTTCTCTTGGATTTGAACATGTATGAAACATCACGCACCCGCAACTCCACTGCCATACTATTGGTGCTTCCCTTTAATTTATTAATATATTAGCCAAATATCATTCACTGCATATGTGAAATAGAGTCATGAGAGGTGTGGGTGTGGGTGTGGGTGGGGGTGTTAAATATATATGAAAGAAAAACCCGAACTATAATGTTGGCCTTGATAAATAGCAATATAAATTCAGCTTGTGTTGTAGTAGACCTGAGATAATCTGGCCAGGCCCAATTAGGTCCAAAAGCTATTTTGGGCTGGGTTTAGGTAGGGAAATTAGGCCTGCAAAAAACCAGGACTTGGCCCAAGCCTGCCGTTAATCAAAACCTATGTTACGTGCGGATGCCACTACGCGTCCGGCGTTCGATGAAAAATGCAAAAATCGGACGCTTCACCCCATGCATGTTGCCGATGAAATATGCAAAAATCGGACACTTCACCCCATGCATGTTGCCGATGAAAAATGCAAAAATCGGATGCTTCACCCCATGCATATGCTGCTCTCTAGTACAATAGGTGTTCACCTTTCTGCATCCCGTGTGCTTCTGTTCTTAGGGCATTAACACTGCGTCTGGCTTATTTCGTGTGGCCATATGCTCCACCAAGACAAAAAAAAGTGAATGAAGCCACACATCACAAATTTTAATCTACCACAGTGCACCGGCCTCCCTCTCCTCCCTAGGTCGTGCCCTTCACTTCCATAGGCCGGCACTTCTCCTCACCTTCCCCACCACCACCGGCACAGCTCTACTTCCCTTGACCGCCGGCGTAGCTCTCTCTCCTCCTCTCTACCGCTCCCCCTCCCCATTGGCGCCTCTCAATCCCGGACGCCGCTCGAGCCCAGCTCAACGGCTCGCGGCAGCGGCGGCCTCTGACCTCTCCCTCCGCCATCCCCTCCTTGCCTCCAACCTCTCCCTTCGTCATCCCCTCCCAGCCTCCATCCTCTCCCTCCACCGAGCTCTCCAGATCTGGCCCGTAGCTCGCCAGATCTAGACTCGGGCGGCGGCAATAGGGAAGGTGGCGGCAACTCGACGGCGATGCTGACGGCGGCTCCATGGTAGGCCCGTGGCGGCCTCTCCCTTCTCCCCTCCGGCGCTGTCGCGACGTCCCTCTCCGTCACAGATCGGAGAGATGAGCTCGGCGGTGCGAGGAGAACGACGAGCAGGGGCGGCAACGAGGTTCCCTCTCTGGCGTCTCACGCGCGGGGCCACCAAGCGCGAGGTCACGACCCCCACAGCGCAGTCGCATCGTTCTTCCCCGCGTCACTCGACAGCTTTTCTAACGAAGAACGCGTGCCCAATTTTGGCTACATGAACCTTGTTCGGTCACACTCCAAGCCGAGCTGGTGCAGAATCTCGGGTTGGCCGAACGCCACGCACGCGCACTGTGAATGGCCTTAGAAGTCAAGCCCTGTGTGTTAGTACTGGATCCTCCCCTTCTTTTTCTCACAATTTTTTAGTGAAACTTCAAACTAATTTTTATTATGGATAATTTATCCGATTTGTAATTCGATTACACTGTTGTTTTCATCGCAATTAAATATTTAAAATAAAATCTCACATGGCTATATTTTAGTGAAAATGCATTATATTACTACTTGAAACATTTTCTACAACATGTATGAAACATCAAACTGTATTTATTGAAACATTAAAAATAATTGTTGAAACATTAAAAAAATTACTACGTGCAACAATTACAGATAAATAAGTGAAACATCATAAAATATTTACTGAAACATCTTACTAACACTATGTACAATATTTACAAATAATCTAGTGAAAATTAAAAAAAACTCAGTTAAACGTCAAAAAACAATATGTGCAACATAAAAAAATTTGCAACACAGTGTAACATAGTTGAATCTCAAATGGAACATCCTTTTCTCACGAATGAAATACGAAATTTTAACGATTGAAACACACGCACACGCGCACACACACACGCTCGCGCGCCCACACACACACACATAACTAAAATATAATTGTGCGTGATCTTGTTGTAAAGATTTAGTTATAGTAAATATAATAATATGATCAGATTATAGATTGGACAAATATTTTAGAAGAAAATAATATTTAAAGTTTGCTAATTTATTGGCTAAGATGGAGGGACGATAGAGCACCGTATGGAGAAATGAAAAAGCAATCTATGGATGCAATATGCAAACTATAGTGAGAGGAGTATTGGGCGACTGATCCATTGTATTGTCCGTTCTGTATGAGTTTTACTTTATGAATAGTGTAGGAGTATTAAATTGGTTCCAGCTTATCTAAATTTACACATATACTACTCTATCCGTTCCAAAATATAAGGCACAACCACCCTTAACCCAAAGACCAAGAAACAATTATTATCATCTCATAGTTTAGGGCACTCTAATAAATATAATGCATGCATCCAATAGAATTAGAGATCTTGAGGGTGGAGGGTTTAAAAAAGTAATAATTTAATGGAGAAAGTGGTCCTAATTAATTGTATGCATGCATGCATGTCTTATATTATGGAACATCTAGAAAAAGTAGTTATGCCTTATATTAGAGCAGGTACAATAGCAGGCTATAAGTCAGCTATAAACATATTTTAAAGAGATAAAAGAAGAAAGAGAAGAGCAACGGGCTACAGATCTGTAGCCAGCTGTAGCACGGGCTCCAAGACGTAATGCGTGTATGACATGTGGGACCAGGTATTAATAGTGTAGTAAGTAACTATTGTATGAATTGGCTATTACATTGGTTATAGATGATTTGGTGTTAGTAGTTGGCTATACTATTAAACTTGCTCTTAGAGCAGGTACAATAGCAGACTATAAGTCAGATGCAAACATATTTTAAGAAGATAAATAAGGAGAGAGAAGGGCAGCGAGCTACAGATTCGTAGCCAGCTGTAGCACAGACTTCAAGACATAGTGTGTATGACAGGTGGGATCAGATATTAATAGTGTAGTATGTAACTATTGTATGAATGTGCTATTAGATTAGCTATAGATGAATTGGAGTTAGTAGTTGGCTGTTCTATTAAACTTGCTGTTATGAAACGGATGGAGTAGTATTTATACTAGCTATACATGGGCTCGGGCTCACTTAAAGTCAATAAAATACAGTGTTTTAAAACCAAGGAGCTTGTTAGACAATGGTGAAACCAGCGAATATATACATAACTAGAATCAACAGAGTTACTTTTTTTTTTACTGTTGATGCCGCAGGTCGTTGTAGGTGTCACGTGAAATATGCCACTTTGTTCACATGGGCGATAGAAAGGGTGCCAACCGTTTTGCATGGCTCGCATATGTACATTGCTGATGATGATGTGCCCCTCCATATAAAAAATTATATTCCCTCCATTTTATAATGTAAGACTTTCTAGCATAATATCTAAATTCTTTAACATCTATATAAATATGAACAATGCTAGAAAGTCTTACATTATAAAACGGAGGAAGTACTATATATTGACATATCCTACTAATATAAAATTTACTTAGATTCTCGTAATATTAGAATGTATCGATATTTGGTACTAGTTTATTTTTCATGGGACGGAAGGAGTACATCGTAGGTCTATCTATCGCCTGCTTGGATGAGAACGGATATATTTGTACATGCAGGATGCTGCATATTGACAGCTAAAAGTAAAAGCTGCGTGTAAAAACAGGTTAAAGCAAAAAGACCTAGCAATATCACTTCCTCTAGTAAAAAAAATGTTTGATGTTGAAGGGTACTAAACTACTAACATCAATTTATTTTATTAGTGGGTACAAACATACATCACTGCTGTTTGTTAATTTATTTTGGCTGAGCTGAGGGAAATTAAAAATTAAAAATTATGGCTGAGCTAAGGGAAATTAAGGTGTCGGTTGGAGCCAGGCCGACGAGAGAAGATGTTCTCTTTCATGGTGCCTTTAAAAATGTAGGAGATTTTATATGGTTTTCATATGAATCAGTTCAATTCTCATGAAATTTCATTTTTTAAAAGAAAAATCCCTTCATTCCGATGAGGCCCACGATTCTTGTCTCTTCTAATATCATCTGATCGAGTCTATTTTTGCTGCTCTCTTTTTCAAAAGGAAAGATATTCCTCAATGCATTGCCAGCCAGCCTATCCAGACAAGGCTAGATAATTTGGCTTTTATATCTTCATGTTTAATTTATTTTTGGCATTGCGATGGATTTTGATATCTCATTTACCGCAATAGCTTTGAGACATTTTGGCGGTTGGCAAGCTATATTTCTTTCAATCTATATATATTGCAAACGTCAATATCGTTGTAATGTGAGAATATAAATAATTGGGAGAAACATTAAAGTTGGATAATATAATAATTTATCTAACTGTGTAATTCAATCTGTAAAACAAACTATAATGACTATAAGTTTAATTTAATTTCTACATTAACTTAAAAGATAAGCACAACACGCAACATATCACCGTAACACACAAACTGGGTCTTAGCTATTATTTATCATTAAGATCCTTTTCAAAAAACTGCTACTATAAAAATTCTGAAGATATAATTAAAGTGTGGTTACCAAGAACAAGGACACACTAGCATCTCGATCAAACGGCTACTACCTCCGTCCTAAAATGTAAGTATTTTTAGCTATGAATCTGAATAGCTAAAAATGCTTACATTTTAGGACGTGTGTCCAGATTTATAGCTAAAAATGTTTATATTTTGGGACGGAGGGAGTATAAATTAAGGGTCGATGATATCTCTCATTATATCATAGATGATGCACGGAATATTTGATTAGTCAACATGCATGCCTTACTCATAATATAAACCATCTTAAAAATGGATAATATATGCATGATATATATCTCTCATTATATCAGAACGTATATATAACATCGATTGTTTTGCACACGCTCAAAATTGTCATATTTTTTTTCTAAAAAGGAAATATACAACATAGTTGATTATCCTATACGTCCCTCTACAAATTAACACACATTGCTAGGGGTGAAAACGGGGCGGGTATTTCCCACTCGCCCGCCCACCTGGCCACATTATTTTGGGACAAATTTGGGTACTCTGGACTTTTCACGGATATCAGGTCCAAATACGGGTCTTTTTTGCGGATATGAGATCGGGTTCGGGAACGTAGTATCTGACTGATACGGATTATATGGATATTACCCGTATTATGTTTTTGTGAGGTAATTTTGATACTATGTATTGGTTATACATCGTATTGTACCCTATTTATTTCCTAAGGTCCTAATAGCCTACTATAATCGTATTATGGATATATAAAATTGTTAAATAATTATTGTCTATCTGATATATAAGATTGTTGCTTCGACTTGATATCCAAATAAATATTCGTAACCGATAGTGTACGTACCATTTTGGTACCTATTTGTTCCATATTTTTGCTCGACATTATCTGAGTTTGTATCCATATTCAACACTATCCGTGTTTGATCCGATTCCAATTATAAAATATGGGTTAGGATATGGGAAGGGTAAGATCCGACCGAACCCGACCCGTTTTCACCCCTACACGTCGCTAATCTACACTTCGAGGCAAAAAAAAAAGAGAGTAACAAATCAAACTACAAAAGCGCGCAATCGCATACACAATAATTAAATTTGTATCTATCGTCACATATACAAATAAAATTTGATCTTGCATATTTGCACCACAATAAGGTAATACCTATGTTTTCTACTTTTTAGAAAATTTATTAATAACTTTTTTTAGATAATTTATGAATAACTATTTGGACCACAGGAAATAGACAACGTAGTACGACACATTCTTTCCTAGGTCTTATGTACGCATGATTGTGTGTATATTCTCGCCTACGCCGACGACGGTGACCGGTGCATATGTTCCCAGCCGTCCTCCGCCGCGCATTGCGGTTGTGGAGGAAGGGAGCTCCACGTCTCGCCATGGCCGTCCACAACCTGAGTTAGATCTCTAGCTACCTGATCCCCAAACCCTCTCAAAAAGATGTATATTCTTCCTAGCACTCTGGCCCCTGGATTAGCTCAAAAATTCCTCATATATATGCTGGCTAGCTAGCTGATAGTATATACTACTCATAACCCATTCTTCTTCCTTACCTAGCTAGCTAGCAAACACTGAAGCTGGGAGCTCTGGCTATATGTCCATATATATATATATACTACATCATTGCTATAGCTAGCTAGCTGGAGGAGGAACATTCATACTTAATTCTAGTTACTTGGAGTGAGTTTAAAACACTGAATTAGGTGAAATTGACCGGTGGCCGCTGACTGCTGGCAGGCTAGCTTTGGTGATTAATTAATTATCTGTCGGAGTAAGTCTTATACTTGATATTACATGCATGGAAGAAGGTATATATGTCTACGCCAACATTCATGTACTTAGTCCTCTACTATTTCTACATAGTTAATTACAACCCACCATTAACTGTATTAATTACTTAGAACTCTCACATTTAACCACGTCATGATCATATCAACGGTGTTATCCATCAATTGAGGTGTGTCGTCTATGAGATATCAGCAATTAATTAAGATCAACATTTCTCAGCAAAGGAGCTTTAAAACCCTGCTGCAAATATGCAGGGGTACGTATCCAAATATATCATATACCCCTGTCGTATATAGTATTTACATGTAGTTATTGATGATGATAGATTGCTCATGCATGGAGGTGATTATTTCTTGTGTGTTTGGTTTGTTTTGCCTGGAAATAGCTATAGCTTTGCACATATAGCTGCTTAAATATTCTTGAATGCAGACATACGAGTTTTCGATATATACTCAGATATATTAGTACAATATTATTATTTGTATGCATATCATCAGTGACTCGATTGATATTTGAAGATATATACTTATATAAAAATGCAAGGATATATGCATGAAGAACATGTCCATATATATATATATATATATATATAGAGAGAGAGAGAGAGAGAGATCTGTGTCTAGCTTGCACTACACCATATATATATATAACCTACCTTAGCCAAAGGAGTCAGTTATTAACTGTAGTTAGCATTATTGTTGAATTAATGCTATACCTCATTAACTATATATGGTGCACGCGCATTCCATGCATCATGCATGTTTATTACTCGTCATATATTATATACGATGTAAACACAAAGTACAATTGATTATATTATTGTTAATTATTTTTTTAAAAACGGAGAAGCAGATGTAGTCGTTAATTTTTGTTTTCTCCTAATTAGGTTATAATAATGGATCACCGAGAGCTGTGGCCTTATGGACTAAGAGTTCTGGTCATCGATGACGACTGTTCATACTTGTCAGTCATGGAAGATTTACTTCTGAAGTGCAGCTACAAGGGTAAAATACCATCTATACAAGACACATAATTAATTAACAAAATCTAACTATCTAGCTTGGCATATATAGTGATCGAATATATTGATGCGAATTAAGATTATATAAGATTATACATATAAAATATTGAGTTTTTCTGGATTAAATAGAAGATGCATACAGAAGTTACAAACACGCACCACTACACACGTGTCCATGCACACTAATGTGTCTCCTAATATATACATGCTCAGATACGCTCAGATAGACAGATCAGATCAATGGCAAATCTTTGACCTCACTAAAATCCTATTGGAAGTATGTGCATAAAATTTGTAAATAAAATTTGTATAAGATCATTAATTTTTCTACTATTTAAGTTCAGTCAGTTTCACATGCATAATACATGATAATCCTATATTATGTATATATATCATTCCATGCTTACTTTAACCAAATTTTCCCTCTACCTTGGTGTAGCCAATGCATCATATAGTTATAATATGTTATGAATACATAAATATATAGCAGAATTTATGTTCATTGTCACATAAAATGTGTTTGCATGATTCTTATTATTAAAATAAATATTTGGTAATGTGTTTCAGCTAACAGGCACATGGAATATAGTCAAAGATGATCAGCTCTGTGGTTGGACTGCCATTTGCTTTGAAGAAGCTACAAAAATTTAATTAATTTTGAAAATGAAATAAAACATGCGGGAGTTCTATATAGTGTATATACCTTAAAATAATTCTTTTCTTTCTTCCCATTTAGTTTGTCAAATTAGACTGCAAGTAGTAATTAAATCGAAGTCTTGGAGGGTAGTGCAGAACATATATTAAGAACAAAGGTATACTTTAATTATATATCCTCACCTTGCAGTTGCGGTTTCTAGGGTTAGCATATATTTTGTGAGGTGTCAACTCAGATATTGTGATGACAAATTAACCTATAAATTTTCTCCATATGTTTTTATTCAATGGGCGATCCATACTCCATAAAATGCATATTAATTAATTTGTAATGAAAACCGGGAAAAGTTGTGTTCGTATATATACCAAGAATCTTGCAAGAAAGTGATTGTATGTAGTAACATTTCCATACACACATGAAGTTACACACACACACACACACATATTATATATATATATATATATATATATATATATATATATAGTCTAACGTCAAAAATGAAATTCTTCTAGATATATCTTACAAATATTCGATATTGGCCTCATTTTCTTTGTGATGTATGTACCTTATATTAGTATTCTCTTGTAGTTACAACGTATAAGAACGTCAGAGAAGCTGTGCCTTTCATATTGGACAATCCACAAATAGTTGACCTAGTAATCAGTGATGCGTTCTTTCCTACCGAAGATGGTTTGCTCATTCTGCAAGAAGTAACCTCCAAGTTTGGCATACCTACAGTGAGTAAGTAATTTATTTATTATCTCCTTACACATTCTTACTAGTTTATATGGATTACACGCCTTAACTTATGCGTGCGTGTGTGCTTGAGGAACTAGGTCAAATATGCACTAATATATAATAAGCTACTCACTCCGTCTCAAAATATAACTACTTTCGCTACGCGCGGGTCAGGTCATCTGTGATGGGCCCAAACCGTACCTCTGACAGGTTCGGCCCTCATCAGAGATTAGTGGTCAGCCTACTCACCTCTGACGGGCCGTTAGAAATGGGTCGTCACAGGTGACTCACTTGTGATGTGTGGCTCTTTCCAACATGTCAGAGGTGACTGTCACCTTTGACGGGTTGTATTTTATCACTTATCACAGGTGTGAAAAAACAACCCAAAAGAAAAAGCAAAAGCCCTCAGCCCCAAGCTCACGCCAAGAGCATAACACAACATCTTTGCATTTTATTGGCAGATCTGATAACATCCAAGAAAAAACTACAGATGAAACAAAAGATGTATGATACATATCAAACTTGAGTAACAATATACATCACACAAGTAATGATCTCCATCCTAACAAACTACACATCCACACAAGTAACAAAGAATATGGCCCAATCTGAAATTTGGCAGTGAACATTTGCAAGATATGAAATCAAGAACAACCTACAGGAGTGTCAAGGTCAGGGAGGCCGCCGTGCTCCCCCTCCACCCCTGTCAGATCTACCCACCAACTCCACCACCAGATCTGCCAATCCTCCAGGGTCAGAGAGGCTAGATCCACGCTCGAGGAGAGCCTAGATCCGCACTTGTGATAGGGACGGCTACCATTGCTTTGGACTGGAGAAGACGAGGAAATGGCATCAATGATCGGGGAGGCTAGATCTGCACCCGAGGAGGCAGCTGGTGCTTGAGGGTAGAGGAGACAGCGGCCAACAGTCGGATCGATCCATGTCCCCCGACCTTGTGGAGGCTAGATCCCACGGTCGCCGGATGCTGGCGGAGATGGGGGAGCCCGGGCTCGGGGGAGAGGCCGGCTCCGGTGGCCGGCGGTTGGGTGATAAAGGAGGAGGCGGCCAACAGTCAAGGGAGAGGCCGCGGCGGCCGGTGATTGGGGGAAGGAGGACGCAACGGCTGGAGATCGGGGAAAGGAGGAGGCGGTAGCCGAATCCACATCCTGGAGGCAAGATCCGGCGACCGGTGATCAGGAGGCGGTTAGGGGAAGAGAGTTTGAGATATGGGGATAAGGATGAGAGGGAGAAAGTGAGCAGATGTGAGGAGAAGAAAGAAGAGAGACCGGAGGATGGGAGGAGATGGGAAGGGAGTTGGGCCGTACACATGGGGATTGGGGGATTTTCCTTTATTTTAAATTATCATTGACGAGCATAAGAATTTAACACGTTAGATATGAGGTATCACATCCTGTGATGAGGTGCAAACTCAACACCCGTCACAGATAGAAGGTCATATATGACGGGCCTATATGTGGGCCCGTCAAAGATGTTATGTGTCGAGTCCTCATAAATGTCCGTAAGATGAGTTTTTACTTGTGACGAGCCATCCCTTTGAACCCCATCTACAACTGGCTATAGTTCAACCCTATCAGAAATAATATCTTTCGTGACGAGACATTGGCCTGTCACAGATATGCCGTCACAATGGGCTGCTCTAGTGAAGTGTTCGAGAATTCAAATTCGTCTCAACCAATCACAATCATTTAATTTATTCACCTATTTTTTTATCTCAACCAATCGCAATCATTTTTTTATAAATAGTAATATTTTGAGACAAAAGGATCGGAGTACACCCTAATAAGTTTACTCACAAGGAAACTTTATATATGTTTTTTAACTAGTTATGGCTTCAAGTGGAGACACAAATACAGTGATGAAATATGTTGCAAATGGCGCTTTTGATTTCCTGCTAAAACCTGTGAGGATCGAAGAGCTGAGCAACATTTGGCAGCACATATTCCGAAAGCAAATGCAAGATCACAAGAACAATAACATGGTTGGAAATCTCGAAAAACCCGGTCATCCTCCATCAATATTAGCCATGGCTCGTGCTACTCCGGCTACCACGAGATCAACGGCCACCGAAGCTTCGCTAGCGCCTCTAGAAAATGAGGTGAGAGATGACATGGTCAACTACAATGGCGAGATCACGGACATACGAGACCTCGGAAAGTCCAGGCTGACCTGGACCACGCAGTTGCACCGTCAGTTCATTGCAGCAGTGAACCACCTCGGAGAAGACAGTGAGTGATCAAATTAAACTTCTTTGCAGTACCATTTCAATCACTTTTCATATGTATACATGCGTGTATACATTAATTTTAATTTACTAGTATATATGTATTTCCTAGCTTGTTTTAAGATGTGGTAATTATGTGTAATTTATTTGCAGAGGCAGTTCCAAAGAAGATACTAGGGATAATGAAGGTCAAACATTTGACAAGAGAGCAAGTTGCCAGTCATCTGCAGGTAATATTTCAGTGGCTCATTGCAAGATGAAAGCAAAACCTATCATGTTTTTCCTTTCAAGATTTCTTTACGATAAATTAGACCATATGCAAGATATATACAAGGGCAAATTCCCTCCAGAGTTTTTAGAAAACACTTTCCAATGTATAATATGTAAAAATGTGTTGTCCATGTTACAATGATTCTTAATTATACTACTTTCACAATTGTACATATAAATTAGCCTAATACTACTCATACATATGTATCAGGTACACATTGTAAGTTTATATATTTGCATCACTCTAATGTACTCCCTAGCTCTGTCCATGAATACAAGGGATTATACCCAATTAAGAAGAAACTAAGAAAGTGGGTAAAGTACGCACTGCTGCTCATGATGGAGTATTACTAGTAGTACATTCTCTCTATTTTTTTGGGTAGGGATGATGGGGAGTAGTGCTAGTAGATTTTTTTTCTCTTTTTTTTATAGAACCGATGGGGTAAATAAATGGAAGCTGCTGATATATGAATTACTGACTATTGTTCTCTTTGCTTTCCCAATACTTATATTCTTGATAAACTAGAGGCAGGGTTTGAAATTTCGAAATTGGATTTTATGTCGGGGGTGAACGAAATTACCGAAAATTTCTGGCCGGAATTATTTGAAAATTTGACTAAATTCACAAAAAAATTGCAAAAAAACTGAAAATTTTAGGCGAGATTTGAGCATGCCGGTGGAGGGCAAAATTACCAAAATTTCGGAAAATTCGAACCGAAATTTCAAACCCTAACTAGAGGATCATAATCATATTTATGGACAGAGGGAGCATGAATGAATATGACCGATGCTTCTAGGGTTTCCTTCTACAAGCATCCTAATTAGCTTATTCAAGTTAGAGTGCATCCACTGCATAACTTCTTTCGCTGCTTCTTCAGCTAATTCAGTTGAACATATATAACCATAAAACCTAACATTTGAACTGATGCAGAAATACAGGATGCAACTGAAGAAATCGATTCCAACAACAAGCAAACACGGAGCGACTTTGTCATCCACCGCTCTCGACAAAACACAAGACCACCCTTCAAGATCGCAGTATTTCAATCAAGACGGATGCAAGGAAATCATGGACTACTCTTTACCGAGAGATGACCTCTCAAGTGGCTCAGAGTGCATGCTTGAAGAACTGAACGATTACTCATCCGAAGGTTTCCAAGATTTCCGATGGGATTCAGACAAACAGGAATATGGACCATGTTTTTGGAATTTCTAGGTAGAGAATATAATGATCCCATCATGTCTCATGATCCACATCCATATGTTGATACCTGCAATTGACTTTCTGAATAAGTGAACATTACCACATCCATATATACTCTTGATGTTCATTGCAGAACTAAACTGACAACATACTGTACATAGGTTGTCTACTCTATCTAGATGTGTCACATGCAAAGATTATGTTGATAACATTCATCCAAATCAATGTCCATCCTCTCAATTATGGGTGTGTTTGGGGAAGTTTTAGATTCTGAGAAGTTGCTGAAGATAATACATGCATCTAGGTGGCGACAATCTAGAGATGTCGAGGAAACCAACTTTTGGCTTATAGTTCATTTTCTGGATTTTACGACTACAATTTCCCAAAATATGGACAAAAAGCTATATATTCCTACATATAAGATCCGTAATCAGAAAAAAAAACAATATATGGATCCATATACATTATATATAGGGTAATTTTACCATGCTTAAGAAGGTAGCTATAAGTACATGTAAAATTTGGTACTTTAGGTGTAGTACTACTGAGTACTAAGTACCTCAAGTACCAAAGATTTTCATGTAAAATTTAGGTATCTCGATACCTCTTATATCACATAGCAGCATATATAGAGCAATAGTAATTAAGTAACAAAGTGATCAAAAATCAAAATGAATTGATATTAAGAAAACCATCCGTGAGCATGATCTCCATAAAACAAAAACTCTTGCTACCTGCATATGCACACAGCAAACACGCGTGATGTTTATATACTTGACCCCTCGATCGATCCCAAATATACAAGATTGGGTTATCTCGATTAAAAAACAAAACAACACTTTATTTTGCTTTTCTCGATTCGTTGTTTCTGCATTAATGAAGAATTAACTCGATTGATCGATCGTGTCTGACACAAGCATTGCTGCGAGAAGAATCAAAAAAAAAAGTTTTTGGAGCTTTTGTTCGATCCATTAACATATATGAAGCTGCATGGATGTGTGGATCACTATCTAGGCCGTGATGATCATGATCAAGCGAGGAGCCAAAAGTTCTTGTGCGTCTTGGTGTTGAGCAGGTAGCCGGCGTTCTGCCCCTTCTTCTGCACACTCACGCACACGCACTTGCTGTGTTCGATCAAGAACTCCGCCGTGCTGTCGTGCGCTCGGCTCGACCCGCTCGGGCTCCTCAACCTACAGGATCACAAGCACAACGATCGACCATGAGAGAATCGTCGTCATCAATGGCGCGGCGCGCGGCGTCGCGTGCACGTCGTGTTCCGTGTCGATGTGATGCGAGACGAGAAAACGATCGACGACGAGAGAATCAATCGTCATCAATGGCGGCGCGCGCACGTCGAGGATTTTTGTGAAGTGTGCGTGGGGGTACGTACCCGAGGAAGGAGGAGACGCGGCGGTGGCCGATGACGAGGAGCTCGACGCCGCGGCGCTGGGACTCGGCGAGGATGGTCTGGGCCTTGGCCTCGCGGCCCTCGGTGGCGGGCTCGACGCGCAGGGCGCGGACGCGGGCGCGCGGGTGCCGCGCCTTGCACGCGGCGCTCATCGTCTCCATGAAATCGGCGTCCCCCGCGGCGCCGGCGCCGAGGAGCGCCGTGAGCGGGGACCCGGCGCTCCCGCCGGAGCCGGTGCGCGACGGCCCGGCGCCGCCCGCGGAGTTGGGGGGCATGTTGATGTGGAGGAGCAGGATGGCGTCCCCCTCGGCGACGGCGTGCGAGAGCGCCCACTCCATCGCCGCCGTCGACTCGCGCCCCGGGTCGGCGATGATCATCACCAGCCTCGGCTTCCCCGGCGCCGCCGTCGGCCCGCCGCGGCCGAGGTCGATGAACGGGGCCATTGCTGCGGCCGGCCGACGTTGCCGCGCGCACGCAGCTTCGTCGCCGGCCTGCGCGCAGCTGGCGGACACACGACACGAGCCTAATGGGGGAGATCTACGCGCGTTTGTCAAGTTTGGGAGGGAGGAGGATGAAGAAGACGAGGAGAGGAGAGAGAGAGAGAGGGTGCATGGCGATTTGGCGGGAGACGCGGCCACGCGCGCTCGCTTGCAATATGGAGGGGATTCCTGATATGGTCATTGATATATGGGACTCATCATAGTTGGACTTATATGTTAGCCATCGCATCCCTCTAACTTTTAAATAAGAGGATCTCAATATACGCACGTACTTGTGAATATATCTTTAACATATATACTCGCTTCGACTGCAACGGTTTGGACGTCTTGTCTGCAGGCACATCACACTGACCCTGATCAGGCCACTGCCTTCTTTATTGTAGTATCATGACCTCGACGAGGATGTCGAGCTCAGATCTACAGCCTAGATCTAAGACCGCTGCCGTGAAAAATTGGCGAAGCATTGATACGTTGAGATTCGTGGGCATCACTGTTTGCTACAGATGATATCGTGACTACCCTTAGTCCCTTACATTAACTTCGTGCTTCTAGGTGAAAATTAGTTCTGAATATTGAGAATGGCCATAGTGACATTCTAGATATCACGACTTTTTTGGAGGTATTATATTGAATATCCATGTTAGCTTAACATTTTTGTTATCGGTGTTCTTATCAGATTGATTTCGATGGCTATGACGATGGATAACATCTAATTTATACCTTAATAATCACTTTATGGTTCGACGTGAGCCACCGACCTACCAAATGAGCCGTCATCCATGTTCCGTGTCGATCTTGTAAAACCAATATTGCTACCAAATGAGTTACTCTATATATTGCTCGATGTAAAACCAATGGTGAATTGTTTCTGTTTTTTGTTGAATTTTTTTATGGCTTGATAGAGAATTTTGATAAGCCATGATTTTTTTCCCATCTTTCATAATATGGTTAACCACCATTTTAATACTAATCGATTACGGAAAATTGGATCGGATCTTGCAGTTTGGCCCAATATATTTACACGGCCCAAGAAAAACAAGTATACGATCCAACATATCCTTTAATTAGGCCCAACTGTAACTAACCCCATCGGTTTCCCTCCCCCGCCCGCGGCCACGGATTGGCACCGCCACTGCGCGCGGCTCGCCGCGCTAGCTATCCCGCCCCCGCTATCTCGCGTACGCCGCCACGGCGAGCCACACGGACATGCACGCGTACACCTCCCCTTTTCTCTTTGTGCAAAATCGATCAGTTTGCTAACGTGAAGATTAAAAGTTTTTTTTAACTAAAGGAGCAGATCTCCCTCCATTTCGATTAAGAGAAATGAGAAAACTCAATTCATCCCTAAGGGAATATTCCATCATTTTTACATGTCACTTAAAAAGTCATTAAAAATTTTAAAAAACTTTAGTAGGATATATCAATATGTGATATGTTACTTCGCAAAATGCAAACTCAAATTCAACTTATACAAGTAGAAACAGAAATAACAAATTTAACTATGAATAGAACGCGTTATTCACGGTCAAATTTGTTTTTTCATTTCGAATTGTATAAATCGAATTTTAACACAAATTTCTGCGAAAAGATGCATCATTTATTGATCTATCTTGACAATTTTTTAAAAAGATTTTGATAATTTTTTGAACAACATGCACAAAACGAAAGGAGGGAAAAAAATCCACTTCCACATAATTGTAAAAGTGAAGATTACTACTAGAAAGTAAATCAGAAATCTGAAATTTTCTGAAATTAGTTAGGAAAATCGGAATTATTATCAGCTTCCAATTAATTTCCTCGTGCGAGAGTACTCAGCACCCACCCCAACAGCCACACATGCATGGCATGGACACGTCTCTCTCCTTGCCATAACACGGTTAACACCAGCACATCACACAAGCTAGCTACGCGTGCGGCTTGTCGCCGACGAGCCTCGCCACCGCGCGCTGCCGCCGGCGCCTCGCCGCCGCCGCCGCCGCCTCCTCCGCGGCGTCGATCTCCAGCGCGGCGCTGAGGTTGAGCGGCGAGACGTAGTCGAGCGACCCCCTGACGAACTGGCTGACGATGATCCGGTTGGCCTTCTCCGTGGGGTGGTAGGCGTCCCAGAACACGTAGGCGTCGCGGTCGGCGCAGAGGTTGGACATGGCAGTGCAGAGGCCGAGGCCGTTGTTGGGGCCCTGGCCGCAGCACGCGTCCCTCGCCGTGGCGAACCCGAACGCCGCCGGGTTGCTGATGAAGTCGAAGTGGACGCGGAACGAGTTGGCCGCCATGAACGCGCCCGGGCGGCCGACGCGCGCGTTCATCTCCCCCAGCGCGCGCGACAGCTGCGGGTTGAACAGCTCCGCCGCGCGCATCACCTGCGGCGCGCACCCGCCGCCGCGCCCCCGCAGCGCGCGCTCCGCCGGCGCGCACCCCAGCGGCCCCGTCCCCGTCACCAGCACCCGCCTCGCCCCCATGTCGTACAGCCTCTGCCAATGCCATGCCATGTCACCGGACGAACACCTCAGAGACGAACCGATCGAGAGGAAGAAGACGAACCTGGAGGATTTTCTTGTACTCGGAGATGAGGAAGCGGACGTAGTCGGGGAGGGCGAACTGCTGGGAGCGGAGGGAGAAGGGGACGAGGTAGTAGTTGTTGACGAAGTCGTTGCCGCCGAGGGTGATGAGCACGAGCGCGCCGTTCACGATCCGCCGCGCCCTCGCCGCGCCGACCAGCGCGCGCAGCCTCTCCTGGTACTCCGCGAAGTACTGCAGCTGCCTGCTCATCCTCACGATGTTCACCTGCACCCCAAGAACGCCGCCATGAACGCCATGAACGCATCTCAACGACCGCGATGGCGCGATCAGTGATCAGTCAGTGGCACTCACGAATTGGATGCCGGTGTCGTTGAGGATGCCGACGCCGGCGGAGGCGAAGTTGGCGCCGACGAGGAGCTTGGCGCCGCGGAGGTCCGGGCTGAGGTAAGGGAGGGTGGGCTCGGCGCCGAGGTGCTCGCTGATGATGTCCGGGATGTTGAGGCCATTGGAGAACCTCCCCGTGGGGCGGTGGCTCGGGTGGTCGATGCCGTACGGCGGCATGTCGGCGCGCGCGCTCGTCAGGAGGTAGTTGTTATTGCCGTTGTCCACCAGCGAGTCGCCGAACACGAAGAACGCCCTCGCGCCCTCCGCCGGCGACGCCGCCGCCGCCGCCATCACCGCCATTACCACCGCCATCGCCGCCATCGAACACCTCATTCTAGCTAGAACGATTTCTTGATTGATCAAGATCAACGTGTTCGATCGATGAACTCGGGGAGGTTGTGTATATATATATAGGCTGGTTCATGCTGTGCATGAGATCGGGAGAAGTACAGATGGATGGGCATGGGCCAGCGACTGACATGAATGAGGGGAATGAATAATAGTATGAGTTAATCAGGCCACAATCTTAGATGAGAGCTATGGCCACATGAATGAGGTTAACATTACATGTGTGTGATTAAGATTCGGACTAACTCGACTGTCCAACTCCCGGACTACTCCGCATCAGAAGCTGCCGGTTTCTGTCTTCATGTCTTTCTCTGTCAGGCAATTGTCATCATTATGGTTAGCATCAAGGCTTTGTTTTTCATGATTCACTACTACTTAAGTAGCATTGCAACAGTGTTACTGACTTACTGTTACTGTATCTTAATTTGGTCTCTTACTTGGTTTATGTAAAAGTTTTGTTGTGACTGGTGAGTAAGCTTTGGCAGTTTGGCTCAACTGATCCATTATAGCTTTTATTAAGAAAAAACTACAAAGTATCAGACTATCAGTCCATAGAGAATTAAGTTTTATATATATATCTTTATAGTCGAAGGCCGCGTTTGAGACAGCCATAGAGAAGTCCATTGTTTTTCGTGCGCACATTTTCCGAACTATGAGATTAAACGGTGAATTTTTTATAAAATTTTCTATAGAAAAGTTGCTTTAAAAATCATATTAATCTATTTTTTTTAAGTTTGAAATGATTAATACTTAATTAATCATACATTAATGACTCACATCGTTTTGCATATCTTCTCTATCTTCTCATGCATATTTTGTTATGTTATTTTCAAGTGTTCTTTGGTTATTGGACTGCATAAAATCTTCAGACTGTAATTATGGGTTATAAGAGTATGAATACTGTTTAGACGGCTGGTAATGGTGTATATAATCTTTTCACATCATAAATAGACGATGTAAATATAACTCATACATTTATTGTCTGTTTATTTATCTATAATAGATTTACACTAGTAATTAATGATTTAACTCTATAAATGGTATATATGATGATTGTATTGTATTAAGTTTTCTATAAGACTGTCTGTTAATCAATAAACGGCACGTTTCTCTCTCCGTTTTTTCTTTCTTCTACATCATAGAAAAATAAACCACGTGACATCTTCTTTGAGACGATAACGTCACACCATTATTTATGCTCTAAGAGCTGAAATCAAGTTTGTAAAACAACTGGAAATCCTGGAATGCATGTTGGTGTAAAACAAGTACTACTAGATCAGAACAGAAGAACATACCAATATTTTTAAAACAAGTACAAATGAGGTACAGTACCCACCTAAAAGTTTAGAACTTACTACTGAAGACGAAGTACAGAACCCTACCTGAAAGTTAGTTCTGAACTTGATCAGTACCTAAAACTGAAAGTTAGCTGAACTGATGACAAGGTAAAGAAATCTCTACCCAATTGCAACTCACATTCTCACAAGATCACAAAGAGCACAGCACAGCTACCTCGGGAGCTTCATTGATGAATGTCCTTGCTGTGGACAGTATCCGGCATGTATGCAGTACTCCAATGTACCATCCGATTGGGATTTGCAAAATGCCAACCGATTAACACGGTGCTGATGCAGCATTAATCAGGGAAGGCAATACGGTCGATAGATCGATATGATCGATCTACAGGACGCTGCTCACCAACTATGAATGGGACACCATCTAGATTTGATTAGCGTTGGTCAGTGGTCACTCCTGGGTTCGAGCTAGATTTAGATTTGCTTCTTCTGATTGCAGAGTAAATGCAGTGGATGAGCTCTAATTAACCCTGTATAATCTGGGTGTTTGGTTGTCTGTAGATTCTGACATCTAAACTATCAGTTGAGCCTTGCGAGTAGCTTACTTTTTGTTTTTTTTTTCCGTTGACAGTGACACACCCAATTGAAACAGCAGACAGTTGCAAGAATGTTTAATTTACAAATGGGGTGAAGTTCCAATTTAATCTGCTGAGCAACTGGCAAGGCTCAGACTTTTTAGAGATAATGGAATTTTTTCCTTGACATTTACAAATACGAGTAACTGTTCTTCTGTAAAACAGTCATTTTTTTTACAAATAATGGAGTTTTGCGTGCGCGCGCGCACACACAAACAATTCTGAAGTATTGATTCAAATTTTACAAATAATGGATTTTTTTTCCTTGACACTGACACAACTCATGCAACCATCACAAGAGCTGCAAATTCCAGAAGTTCTCAATAATTCCGAACTATAAGTTCTTCCAAAAATTCTGAACAACAGAACCCCACCTGGCCGGTACCCAACTGGAAACAATCACCAAAATTGTGCATACACACCACACTGCTGAGTCAGTGACACAAAGACACTGTCAGTGCCCTGACCAAACTAATTAGTACTAAGTACTCCACTGACAGTCTATCTCCACTGAGAAGAGAAGGGTCGTCGCATCAATGTGCCCATCTCCCTTTTCATGCCATTCAATGGCGCAAATCACTGGATCTCTCTCTGCCAGCATTCTTCAGGCGCTTTGCCGTTCGCGTCGCCGGGGCGTCGTGACAGCGACGCGACGGACGACGGTGCGGGAGTCGCGGTCAGAGAGGCAGGCGGGTGCAGTAATACGATGTGTCTGATCAGATTAGCGCCTCTGATTCGAATTCGGTTTGATTAATTGCGAGGGCGGCGGCGGCGTCAAGCCGGATTTAGGAGGAGCGTGTGTGTGGGATTTATATTGATTAGCAGCTGCTCTGTTTGGTGGTGGAGACGCGGAGTATTTGGGGGCGAGGTTGATGTGGTCCTTGCGGTGGATTATTATGGTTCTAGAAACTGATATTGGGAACAAAAGTTGTTCTAAAACACTGACCTCTGGTGACCAAATATAATGTACTACTCCGTCCTAAAAAAACGAATTCCTAACTACGAACTTGGACATAACCTGGACGTATATATGTCCAGGTTCGTAGGTAGGATTGGTCTATTTTTGGAACAAAGAGGGTATGTTCCTAACTTTGTTGTTCTTTCATCCTAGAGAAAATCCGTTTTATTTCCCTGAAATTGTAGCTAATCCCTACTATTCCTCTAAGTTGTGCTTACTTCCTTGTATATCTCTAAAATTTGATTTTGAACTCTTCCATGTCTCTTCCAGTCTTCCGTTAGTTGATTGTTGATTGACCATCTAATTTCATCATTTTACCCAACCACATGGATAAACATAAAAATGTGTGAATTACATTATCGAAAATATAAAAGTTTATCGTATGAGACTATTATAGTTACGAATTTGTTGTGCGACACATTATTAATGACAAATTATTTTTAGATAATAAAAAAAATATGTATTTATTTATTTATTAAAAAGTCATAAACAATGAGAGCATTCATAGGGGCTACTAATGTTTATGATAATTTTTTTAATGGATGCCCCTCATTTTTCTATGGTGCTCACAATAAAAAAAATCCATTGTCCAATTAAAATTTCAATTTACTACATTTGTTTTTTTTCAAAATTTATGTTAAAATTTAATGCACTAATTATCTAGTCTTGTTAGTTTCATAAAATGCACGTACCGTGCTTTTAATCAAAATTTCCAATCGTTTTTCAAGCTTAGATTCAAACATATATCGTCAAGGACATAAAAGACATTTGCATCCAAAATTAGTAGTAAAATGAAGGAAAATGTAATGGCAGAGGCATGAAAAGTAAATTAAAATTTTAAGGGTATAGAAAGGATTTGGTAGATTTCAAGGGTATGGGAGGGATTGAGTGAGTTTTCAAGGTATACAAGGAATTTACTCAGCATGCATCGTTCTATCCACCCACCCATCCTACCGTGTGTCGTTCTATCCTTAATCTATCCATCCAGCCAATCCTTAAATATATGTGTCTCACTCACCCAATCCTTCTGACCCGTTGCAAAGCACGGGCATATTACTATTAATAAAAGTCATTACTTGTCCCTGAATTTTTATTTCAACTATGACACAAGGCATTATAGACAAATTAAACTTAGTAACTCTTTAAACAGCAGAAATTAAAACAAGGAATATTGTTTGATTTAAAGAGTTGAGAGGTAAATCAAACCGGGAAAATAGTTAAAGGGATAAAATAGACCTTTTTCCCCTTAAAATTAAGGCTTTCTTTAGAATGCAGGAAGTTTATAGAATTATGCACAGGAGACAGTCTATGATGAAAATATGAAATGAAGTTATAGTTGGTCTGTGTACGCGAGCACCTTGGACAAATATTCATGTTGTGAGCTACGCAAAACAACTAAAATGCATTCTTCCTTTTTCTTTACATTCACGTGCAGACACAGGAGGCGATATCTAGATATATTTTTACGATCCTTCAGCTAGTTCTGGTTCAGATGGCCTCCATAATGTCCCAGTAGGCTCACCCATCAAAGCAATCCCGAGAGCAGAGAGCTCTGTTCTGATCCGGTCAGACTCGGCGAAGTCCTTGTTCTTCCTGGCAAGCGTTCTTTGTTCGATCATTTGTTGCAATTGCTCTGCAGTCATGCCAGCTCGCTTCAATGCCTTGTCCTTCAGTTGCTTCAGTGCATGTTGAATTGAAGATTAATTCAGCATGTTCACAAACTTAAGCAGTGGTTGGAAACAGTACAGTATGCATGTTGTGAAAACTAACAAAGTTACCTCAGCCAAAGATGACATTGGCATTAAGCCAAGGATGGAAAGTTTATCGGTGACTTCATTCTGCAAGGCAACCAGAGCTTGGATATAATCTTCTGGTTTTTTCTGTTGCTGCTGCTGCTGCTTCTGTGATTGTTTCTTTTTCTGGTGTTCTAGCTTTTGTTGCAACTTCTGCAGATAGAACAAGTAATCAGATAACATTGTGTGCAACAGCAATGATAAAAAGTATCAGTGTTCAAAGCCCGGAAAACTCAAAGCTACTAGTTACATGCCTTCAGATCGCTTAGGTTGTTGTTTATTGCTCTTAGTGGCACCATCAGGTGATCAAGAGCAGCCGTTGTATGCAGATCATCTGACATTTTCTCAAGAAAATTTGAACGGTTCTCTTCGATCAACTTTTGATCATCAGCCGGTATTGAGTTTTCCAACTTGTGTTCACCATATAACGACACAGTTTCTTCACCGTCATGTAGAGTCTGGGAAAGATTTATAATAAAACAGTTACAAAGAATTTTACAAATACAACATAACCCAGATAAAGTTTAGCCTAAATTGAAAATTGACAGACATGAGATACCTGATAAATATAATATAGACGGCCAGATGCAAACTGAAGAGCTGTATCAGAGTGGTTTACATCTGATCTATAATGTGTACGCATCAGAAATAATCTTAAAGCCATGGGATGGTACAGAGAAATAATCTACAAGAAAAAAGACATTGTCAAGTTCAAAGGCACAGGTTAGAAATCTGAATGGGGCAAATATATTCGCAGCTAAACAGAGATAGATTAACTCTTACATCTCTGATGGTGAAGAAATTCTTATCTGCCTTAGCCATTTTCTGGCCATCTTTGTTGACAAACCCGTTATGCATCCAGCATTTTACCTCACTCTCAGGATAAGCTGCTTGGCTTTGTGCGAGCTCATTCTCATGATGAGGAAAGATCAAATCTTTTCCTCCACCATGAATATCAAAAATATTACCCAAATAATGAGCGCTCATCGCACTGCACTCAATATGCCATCCTGGCCTTCCACGACCCCAAGGGCTCTCCCAAGATGGCTCACCCTCCTTAGCAGACTGCACAGACAATACAAGTCTATCAAGAATACAGAGAAGAGGCTCAAATGGGTAAGTTTGGTTAAAGTGAAAGCAGTATGTCACCTTCCATAATGCAAAGTCTGCAGGATTTCGCTTTCTTGCATCAACAGCGACTCGTGTTCCAGGACGGTTTTGGTCTACCTTCCTTCCAGATAAACTCAGATAATCAGGGAAGTTATCAACAGAGAAATACACATCTCCTTCAATTGTATAGGCTTTCCCATTGTCCATTATCTGTCCAAATGCATATAAGAACATAAGACAAAGGTGTTTAACATCAAGCAAAACGAGCCAAATATCAGAGCCATGCCATCACCACTACACAGTAGAGATTAGACAAGTAGTTCTTATGAAAATCAGAAAATGTAAGCGCATTAACAGTGAACATAATCGATCAGTTACCCTTGTTTGTAATAGCTGAACAGGAATAATCATTACTCCCTCCATCTATTTTTGATAGTCATATTTCCAAATCTAAAAATTTTATTTTTGATAGGCATATTTCACTTCAACAACCTATTATCTTAATGATTTTCTCGGATTTAATGCATGACTCTCCATTTTTCCACACAAGATTGGCTACATGGGCATCGAGAAACGTAAATATCAATGAATCGCTTGTTTACGAGGAATGACTAGTAGCATGTTTAAATGGATGATAAGTAGAATTAATTATCCTTGGTCTGTGTGCCAAGATGAAATATGACTATCAAAAGTAGATGGAGGGAGTATAACAAGCAGCTAAGCAATACCTTGGTTATCAAATCTATTATCTGCTCAATGTGCTTTGTTACACGTGGCTCATGAGTAGGGGGAAGGCACTGAAGTTCATACATATCACGATGGAACTCATCGATGAAGCGACTGCTCAAACTAAGTGCATCTTCACCAGCTTCATTTGCCCGTTTGATAATCTGCACAAACAACACAAGCTCTGGAGTCAATGTCAACTCTTTCTAGTTTTGAAGATAATTCATCCCCGGGAAAAAAAATCAAGAACAATAATTCCAAGAAAATCTAGAAATAGCAAGATACAGATTAGGAAGATGGATATTACCAAATGAAAGAGAATTATATGTGAGACTCAGATCAATTCCATCCTCAATGTAGGGAAGGAAAAAAAAAAGGAGCTCAAAGGAAGTCTTTTTTTTTTTGAGAAGCTCAAAGGAAGTCTTTGTGCTATTACCTTATCATCAATATCGGTGAAGTTGCGCACGTAATTAACTTCATACCCCAAATACTTAAGATACCTACAATTAGACATCAATTTTCAACCTGGTAAGAGCAATACTTAATGTATTATAAAAAAAGAAGCATGCATCCACAGGAAATAAGTAGTAACACTATGCGAAAGTACATCATTCCCACTAGAAAAATTAAGCAAAATACATGGCAAAATAGGAGATGCGGTAGCCTAGTGAACAAAAAGCTTATAGAGCGTAAACGCGATCAGGGAAGGGTAGTTCACAACAGGAGGTTTTCTTTCTCTCTCTTTTTTTTTTTGGCGTCGCCATGTTTTCCAGCTCAGTTTGGGCCTCTGACGTCATCACCAAATGGCCCATCTGCAGCCCATGCTGACTACCGGCAAATTCCGGCCCATCTCCAGCCCATGCTGACTACCGGCGAACTCCGGCCACCTCGTCGTCGTCTCCGGCTCCGGCGAGAGTGCATCGACCGATCAATCTCCAAAACCGGCGGCTAAACCATCGCGCGAACCGTACTGGGATCAATCGGCGGCGGGGGGCGCGGGGGATCACCTGAAGAGGACGTCGAAGGCGACGTAGGCGCGGGCGTGGCCGACGTGGCTGTAGTCGTACGGGGTGACGCCGCAGACGTACATGGCGACCTTCCCCTCCACCCGCGGCCTGAATGGCACCGCCGCCTTCGTCCTCGTGTCGAACAGCCTCAGCTCCGCCGCCGGCCGCTTCCCCCGCGGCTCCTCCTCCCCCACCGATCTCCCCTCCTCCGCCATCTCGTGGGCGAGAGAGGAAGGCGAGAACAACCTAGCGCGCGACGTCGACGGAAGAGGCGGCGCGCGCGGGAGGCGAGGCGGAGACGACACGGCGGCGGCGGCGCAGGCGAGGATCCGTCGGCTCCGGCTCATGCACGCGCAGGCCTCCCTAACTAGGGCGTGGGGCAATGCGCGACGCGGTGGTGCGGGCGGCCGAGCGGCGGCGTGCGGGCGGCGGAGGCTGGCCGGACTCCGGAGGCGAATTTTTTTTATTTTTAATTTTTTTTATTAAAAGTTTTACAAAAATAATTTTCCATTTTGAAAATTGACGGAAGTAGTCGCCTACCGCCCTCTGGGAAGGCGATTTTTAAAAATCGCCCTCCCAGAGGGCGGCGAAAATGACGTGGCAGACGGCCGTTCGCTCTCGGGCGACGGCCGTCAACGAAATTTTGTACTGTGCTCTATATTTTTGTATAAATATCAATAGTTATCAAATCTTTTTATATTGAAAACTATACAAGATTAAAATCTCCAAGACTGGTAAAATACAATTTTATTATTTTTTAGGGCATATTTGGATTGTTACCGTACAAATATTTTGTTACCGTACAAATATTTTATTAATTTTTAGGGCATATTTGGATTGTTAGTGCCAAATTTTTCTTCACGACCAAATATTTGGTAAGGTAAAATTGCATTTGATCATATTTGGTTTGCTGCCAAAATGTAAAATTGTAGTGAAGAATGTTCTACATAATCTCAAATCTAGATTACGTATTACCAATGAATAGGCTTCCATTTTCGTGTGTTGTGTGCTAGTGGGAAAGAAGATATGAAGAGGTTGCCTTCAGATTGTCAATTATATAGCGTCGTTTTCACTGCAATATATGTGAACTCAATGAGATACATTATTCATTAGATGTGACAAGACGATCACGCGTGGGCGTGATTCACTTTATGTAAACAGGCAGCGCCGAAAGTTGATAGTGATAACTCGAGCTGCCGCTTTTCATGTGATCTGACACTACCGTGCAGCGCCGAAAGTGTGTTGTCGTGAGCATAAGTTGTTCTAGCACCATATGAATGAAAAGAACTATGTAGACGAGACAAACACAAGTAATACTGCAGTAGTAATAGCAAAAGTAGTACTGCTTTACAAGTTTGTAAGCCAAAAGAAACGGTCACATAAGGACTGAAGAGGTAGAACACTACTGACGAGGCCTCTTACCCCTGTCCCTCCTACCCTGCGCCCTAATGTGCCCGTGGGAGTACGTGAGTCGGTCCGGGGGTACGGCACGGCCAACCCGTCCTGCCTGTACAGGTGTGACCTCTGGCTGCTCCTGAGTGTGCGCCTCTGGAGCTCCTCCAAGCTGAGAGGAGCCTAGTACGTCGTGGTGGTCTGCACCGTGCAAGTCGTCGTCGTAGAACTGGCTAGTAGGACCAGTCCTACCGGCGTGAGACGAAGAGGCCCCAGTATCGAAGATCCTGGCTGCAAATCCTGCTGGACAAGGACCATCAGTTTCGTACAGGTATTTAACAGTATTAATAAAAAGTAAAGTACCGTGTGGGCGAGGGATCGACGCTCCGTGAGAGGAAGAGCTGGCGAACGCGCCCGAAGAGGTGGCGAACGCCCCTGCGGAGCTCGTGGAAGCGCCGGTCGTGCCTGCGAACGCGCTCGAAGGCAGACGAGGTCCTGCGATGAGGAAACGTGCAGTTAAAACATGGTGACATAATCGTGCAAAAGCTGAAACAAAAATGAACTAATATCTGGGCTGAACTGTACCGTGCGAAACCGGTGCTGTAGGTCGCACTGATCCGAAGCTAGGGGCGCTCGAAGGCAAACGAGGTCCTGCGAGGATGGATCATCAAGTTACGACGGGGTGATGTTTTCGTAAAAAACAGAAACAAAACTTAAGAAACCTCTGGGCTGAGCAGTACCGTGCGAAATAGGTGCCGTAGGTCGAGGTCCTGCTCCGACGGTAGGCGCGCGAGGCCGTGGTTGTACCGGACCAGCTGGAGGTACGACGTCCACGGCGCTGCGACAGGAGAAGACGCGCATGACCGCACGCATCTTCTCCTGCATCCGGTCGAAGGTCACCCTCTGCTCAACGTCAGTCAAGTGCAAACCTCTGTTCAACCTCACTTGGACTGCGGTGATATCGGCACGGATATCCCGTGCGGCATCAGCCTATGCAAGATGGAAATAACAAATTCAGTAGTTGTCCTATATTATGCAAGATAAATGAAATAATTGTAAGAAGTAATACAAATTGGACGTACCGCCACGAAGTAGTCTCGGTCACGGTGCGTGGGATACGCGTCCGTGACAGCGGCAACGTGCAGCTCTGGGGCGTCTGGAGTGAAGGTCACACGCGCACGAGTGCGAGGAAGGTACCAGCGAAGGTAGTCACGGTAGTTCTCCTCCGTGTGTGGGAAGAGCTCGTTGATCACCTCCTCTGTAGCTAACACCCAGTCGTCAACGTACTGCTGTACACGTGGAGCCCAAAGTGCGCCTGCTAGCTGTCCCCGTCGAGTCAACCTGTGAAGAGAGGTAAATTATATGGCTCGATGAAGTAATTATCATAAAAATTTAGAAATGAACAATCCGAACTCACGAGTGGTCGGCAGGGAGGACGGTCGGCTGCACGTTGCCCGGAAACACCTGCCTAAGTCCGAACTGTCTCATCACACGCTGCGGGCAGTGAGGCTCAACGAAAATGTCGAACACCATCGGCAGGATGGTGAGCCAGTAAGCCTGGTCGCGTGTGCACAAGGACGAAAGTCCTAGCGGTGCTCTCGCAGCGATGGCCTCTTCTGTGTACGGCTCCCAGATGACGTCGCTCGGCTGGAGACGGTCAAACTCGAACACGAAGTCCGGGTAACCACGTCTCACCTGGACGTGAGCGTAACGACGCTGCAATAAACATGATCGGAATTAGACATGTTATGTGAAGAAAAAAAAAAGACGACTGATAAACTTATAACGCAGCGAAGTTGCACTAACCCCACGTCGACACCAGTAAGTCCCCATCGTGGGACCGTCCTCTGGCCACTGCGCGCTGCGACCAACCCCGTAGGGTGCGCTGTCCACCACTGGTCGACCTATGGCAAACCTCTCGGCTGCCCAAAGCTGAAGCAACATAGGGCAGCCAGCGATGATCGCTCCCGCGTCAGTCTTCGTGCACGCCTCACAGAGGGCACGGTACGTGGCTGCTAGCACGGCAGAACCCCAGCTCCACTGCGGCACGTCCTGTGGCTGAGCATCCGCGATGGACCGTGCGTAGTGGACCAGCCGGAAGTCCACAGCGTGCCCGTGGGTGCTAGTGAACATCACCCACCCGAACAACCACAACAGGTACGCCTCAAGGGAGCGTCGGACCGAGTAATCATCAGCGTCAGGGTGCAGAAGGTCCGCCTACAATTAAGAATGAAATGTTAGTACAAAACACTCATTCGGTCGCAAATAAGCACGTATGATAATAACAACTTATTTACTTACAGTGAACTGGAGCAACCAAGCCTTGCTAGGCCCGACTGTAGAGTACGGAGGAAGGGTGGTGGTCGGTCCTAGGTGTGGAAGGCGCATCACCTGCTCGAAGCGCGCAGTGATATCCTCCTTCCACCCAAAAACACCGTCCACGGGACCAACTGCTGCTCCCGCCAGCGGTAGCCCGAGCAGGTACGACACGTCCTGCAGTGTCGGAGCCATCTCCCCACAGGGAAGGTGGAACGTGTGCGTCTCAGGTCTCCAGCGGTCTACAAGAGCGGCAAGGAGTGACCGATCTGCATCCCACCGCTTCGCTGGGTCACGGTCGTCCGCCGCCGCCTCAACAAGCCTACAAAGTGGTAGAAGGCCTGCCGCACGCAACCTGTATAGAGCAAACTTCAAACATAAGTACAACACAAAGCAAAGTTGAGTTGAAATGTGAACATACGCGTACCAAGGAACGTGACGGGGGTCGACACGCAACCACTCGCGCGACGTGCGTGGACGGAAGGTGCCGAGCTGTGCACCCTCGACTGCTGACAGGAACGAGCGGTGGTTCCTGTCAATCCCACGGTTCAACAGCGCCGGTGTGTCGTACGCCATACCTGCATCAAATAGGTTGATCAGAAACATATAAATAATTAGTTCAACATAAGTAATAAATGTTCATAAGCGAATTACTAACACATATTAAACAAGAGTACAAACAAACAAAAGTGTTTAGTCCGAACACTCATCACGATAACATTATGATACAACACCGAATAATTCGCAATACTACTAGTACAACAATAGTCGGAGGTACTCATTACAACAACATTGAATTGAAATTACACGATAGAAGTATTTAGTCCGAACACTCATTACATCACAACAGCATTTTATTTCCTAAATCGAAAGCATTGTTACACCATGGAATCGCCTGCTGCGCGACGACGCCTTGGCCTTGCGCGCCTGCTTGTTGTTCCTTCACCAGGTGGTCGCCTACCATCACTTGCCTGTCCAGATGGACTAGCATCTGCGCCGCTTGGAACTTCTGCATTCTTCGGGCATTTCTTGTAAGTATGGCCGCGCAGATCACACTTGCTGCAGCGTAAAGTCCTCCCACCTGCTTCTGACTCATCCATATCATTTCTGATGCGTCTAGTTTGGCGTCGACCCTTTTTCACCCTTAACTTAGATGGATCTGGAATATAAAAAACTTGGGCACTCAGCGTTGTGTAAGATCCTGAGATCCCGAACCCATATATCTCCTCACTCCATGTATGAAAGATTGCTTCTTTCCTGAAATAATTTGAGACGTACACATTGGGAGATATGCCACAATCACCGGCAGCAGCAAGAACGTGTGAGCAAGGAAGGTGATGAAGCTTCGGCTTCATACAACTGCAGGTACATCCACCATCCGCCTTCAAGACACATTCCTGCACGGCTTGCTTGCGATAGATACCACGCCTGCTCCTATCAACACACATTATTTCATACCGATGCACTTGTGTGCCTTGAGCAACAACTCGATGTCTCCGTGCCTTTTTGATTTTATCTTCCATGTACTTTGTCACTACGTTACCAAACACTATGTTGTCATCGGCCATGGACGGACCAATTTTCTTGTATCGATCCCTAAAGTACGCTTGCGTGCCGTGAAGGATGAATTCAACAATAGCAACCAATGGAAGTACCCGAACTCCTCGCATTACCCAGTTGTACACCTCTGCCAAATTGGTTGTCATTATGCCATACCGAGA